GAAGCATGTTTCTCTAAAAAGTCTCAACTTTTCATGAGCTCAGAAAAACAGCTTTGCTGATCGTGGACTATGATTACGACAAGACTGCTTGATATACAATATGTCTCCTCAGATACTCGACCACTACTGACAATAATTCCTCAATTCATTAACCGTCCATCATGCTAAAAACTGTTTACTCTAACCAGTGCTGGAATTACTCTATTTACAATAATTACTTTTTCTCTGACGTTCTCCATTGCATATGGCATCTATTGCACTTTTGTCCGTCCTGGGAGACAGATCCTCACGTGTCTCTCTGAGCTTTCTTTGTTCTTTTTCCCTGTTAAAAGTTTTTTTTGGTAGTTTTTCCTTCCTCTTGTTGAGAGTTAGGGGCAAAGGATTGATTGATTGATTGAAGTTGAGTTTTGGTAGAGAGCACTGTTATTTAAAATGTTACCTTATGTACAGAAAGTGCTTGTTTCCTGGAAAATGTCTTAATTGATTTTAATGATGAAATAAATATCAGTCTGATTTAAACATGGTGCAACTTTATGTATATATATATATATACATACACATCTGCATATAAATTCCTCTCTGCTTTACAATATTCTTCAAAAAGAACCGGAGCTTTGTGGTTCACTCTGTCATCTCACACTCAAAAGTGCAGCCAGTTTAAAAAAAAATCTTAAAATTTGAAAAATTGTATAATAAAGTTCTTTCTAATTTTCTAATCTTTCTACAGATACAATGCTGCTCTCGGGAAGCGCGCTGATTGTCCTGCTGTGCCTCAGCCATGCGGCCAGCGTGTGGTGTTTTGCCCGTCTCCTGGACGATGTGGAAATACGTTCGGCTTTCTCGGTTGCGCGCACCAACAGCATGGAAGGCGGACCTAAGATGACGGTGACCTTTGACACTGTGTATGTCAACATCGGTGGAGACTTTGACCCAAAGGCCGGCGTGTTTCACTGTCGTATCCCTGGGGCATATTACTTCTCCTTCACGGTGGGGAAGTTTCCACACAAAGACCTGTCAGTGATGCTGATGAAAAACAGAAACGAGGTGCAGGCTATCGTCTATGAGGAGAACGCCGGGGAGGAAAGGAAGGTACGAGTTTGTCTCCACAGAAAATATTCACTGTTCAAATCATGAAACCTCAAACTGAGTCATTCACAAGGATCATCTCATTTTGACAGAAGTCAGGTCATGAATGAATTCAGTTATATTTTACTGATTGTAAACATAACTCACTAAAAGACCAAAACCAAGTTGATTTATTTATGAAGCACGTTTCCTACAGCAGGCACTCAAAGATCATACATATATACGAAAGTATTACAATGAAAACTATTTAAAAAGATAAAATAATATACTGAGGGATTATTAGAAGGGTTTTATTATATTAATATAGATACAAATAAAAGTTTTGCCTGTTGAAAACAAACAAAACCAAAAGTAAAAGTTTGTGAAAAAAGCTTTTCAGTTTGTCTGATATTCTTGTGATTCCTCTGTGGTGCCATTAAAAATGAGTAGAAAGAGTTTAAATAGATCCCAATAAATTCTCCACTTACACAATCTTTATGAGGAATAATCAGATGAGTTCAGTTCAGGATGGATTTTTTCCCTCTGATGAAACATTAACAAAGGTTCTTCCATGACAGAGCTCCAACTCTGGTCGAACAGTGTGGCTGGTATCACAGTGTGCTTGTGTTGGAAATGAAAGCACAACAGAGGGGATTACACATCGCATTCCCCCGAATGAGGGGCTGATGATCAGATTATGTTTGGGTAACAAAGTCTACTTCGATCCTCAGGTGCAAAGCCAGAGCGTCATGCTGCAGCTGGAGTTCAGTGATACCGTCTGGCTCCGTCTCCATGGTGACCCTCGCTATGCCCTCTACAGCAACACCGGACATTACACCACCTTCAATGGTTACCTCATCTACCCGGACACCTATGACTACCAGACGCACCACCACCAACAGCATCCCACCTACAACTCCCAGCAGCCCCAGCAGGACAGCATCCCCTTGTTGCATAGTAACCAGGCCACAGATGACAGGTCTGGATCCAGAGGTTTGCTGGAGGAGAGGGAGCTGCAACATAGAGAGGAGGAGGAGGAGGAGGAGGAGGAGGAGGAGGAGGAGGAGGAGGGGRAGGTGGAGGATGATGAGGACGACCAGAGATCTGCCTTCTCAGTTGGGCGCACCCAGAGCATTGTGGGAGTCGACCAGGTCGGCTTGCCACAGCACCAGCCCGTTAGCTTCGACACAGCGTTCGTCAACATTGGAGAGGACTTCAACATGTCAGAGGGGGTGTTCGCCTGCCGCGTTCCTGGCGTGTACTACTTCTCCTTCAACGTGGGCAAGCTGCCACAGAAGACGCTGTCCGTCAAGCTGATGAAAAACCGTCTGGAGGTGCAGGCGATGATCTACGATGACAGCCAGGGCGAGAAAGCCCTGCAGAGTCAGAGCTTGATGCTGGCGCTGAAACCAGGGGACACGGTCTGGCTATACTCGCACCAGAGAGATGGATTCGGGGCCTATAGCAACCATGCCAAGTACATCACCTTCACTGGCTTCCTGGTTTACCCAGACTTCCCCACCACCACTACCAGCCAATCACCTGCAGATAAGAAACCCTAGCTGCAGGACATGGGCTCGGGCCTGAACATTGTGTTAGGAATTCATGCAAGATGGAAAAGTGCGGGTGTCCCCCACAGAAAGCAGAGTGAAGATTCCTCTTCATATGAATTCCTTCACAAAGTGACAGGGACCTCGGACTGAGTGCAGAGCTTCAACGAAAAGCTTCTCAATTTGCAGTTGACAGTTTCCAGGATATGACTTCATCTCACCTAATGTGGAACCTTGAATGACAGTAATGTGAATATGTATAATGAAAATTCAGTCATTACCTGCTCACCTCTGTGTCTCATGAACTCTCATTAGACTTTGTACCAGCACCACAACACACCACGATCAAATTATGGAAAGAAAATTAAGTCTAGAACTTAAAGACAAATATGAATTACTTGTACTGTAATGTAAACTTCTGCCTAATGCTAATTCATGTAAATTTTGTACTCACTGTTAAACTGTAGGCAACACTCATTAAATTCATATGATCAGTGGATAATAAATGACACAGAAATTATGTTTTTCAGTGAAATGTTAAGTTTAGTGAATTTATTCTCGTCAAAGACTTGGTGTTTCTGCTTGTATGTAAAACCTTTACTTTCTTTATGTCTTTAGAGGCATGTGAAAACTATGTGATTATTAACTGTGTGTTTTGTGTCAAAATTAGTCTCTTTTCTTCATTTTGGAGCTTTTTCCAGTCTCAACACTTACGGCAGGATCAGAGGACAACAGGACCAAAAAGTGAAGACTGCGTTTCCATCTAACTTTTAACCTCATGCCACCTCTGAGCCCGCAGGGATCCAGACCATAATTTAACTTCTGATCGGAGCAGTTTAATTCATTTGTTCAGATGGCGAGCACTGCAGGGGGGAAATTGAGTTTCTTCTCCCAGGCATCTGTGTCATGCACGTCTGTTTAATCTCACAGCGCCTGGAAGAAGATGACGTGGTTCAAGTTGTGATGAAATGAAAGTCACCTTCTCTGCTGAAGAGACACCATGTGAAATGATACTTTACTTTGATTGAACTTTGATTATTGGCTGGACTTCTCTGATGGTCTAAAAACATCATTGTAATGAAAGTAGGCCAATTCAGTTCTCGAAAGAGAGACAGCACTGTTTTAATAACGTCAAATTAATTATTGGAGAGCAGTTTTAATGGGTTGATTTGTTTCTGCTGCCACAGTGTGAAGCATTTAGGTTTAACGGATTAAAAAAGGTATTTGACGTTACTTTGATCAGTATGTTGGTGTAAACACTGGACCCACTGCTTACTTACAGACAATCATCACTGACTCCACAGATCTTATAACATCTTTCAGTGTTTGGGTCACACAGATTGTAAAACAAAAATGGACGACACATCTCCACTTCCTCCAGAAATGAAGCCAAAATGGCTCAGATACAATCGCTGCCAACTTGTGGTGATGACATCATTTGCAGTCAGAGTCTGAGCTGTAGTGATAGTAACAGTAACACTGAGGTTCAGGAAGTAAATGTCTTATTTTTCATTTTTAGTGATGTTTCATAAAACCCTTATAAAAGAGTTTCGATCTTGAACCCAGGCCGACCGGCAAAGAGATGAATTATGAAACATTTAATTCAGGGTAAAAACAATATTATAAAGAAAATCTCAAAGTTACTAGACTGTGTTCATAATTAACTAACTTTAAGAAACTACACATCCCATAATCCATTGTGAATCCTTTCCTTTTTTGTAATACTTCCTGCTGCTTCTTGTCTCTTTTCCTCATCTCTCATGTTAAAGAGACATTTTAGTTTCTCTGAACATAATGTCCAATCAAGCCAACATGATTACATTTCTATGGTAACAGCAAGCTCCACCAATTAGAGACGTTGCTATTACACCTGAGGATTGTGGGTAGTGTAGTGCTTCTGATTGACATTTTGAATAAAACCCAGTTGATATCATGTGAACTTGTGGCTTCTTCAGGAGAAATCTCATCTCATAGCTTGTGGTGAGTCGACCTAAAATAAATCTCTATCAAGAAAATGATTTTTACTTCTCAACCGCCTACTGAGCTCTATAAGAAACTGTTGACATAAGATGTCTTATTTCTGGATAATCTACAGAACATAGTTGATTCATAAAAGGAAAAGACGACACTTGGGCACAAAACACCAAAGTTAAAAACAGTTATGGAGGAAATGTGTTTTCCTTCATAGAATTTGGAGAATAGACCTTTCGAAAAATGGAAATAACCATAAACACTTAAGTCAAGCTCAATCTTACCCTCCCCCCAGCAGGTTTCCAACCTGTGGTTCAAGACCGACAATAATCAAAATCCTCAAGAGTAATCAAGAAGATCAACAAGACAGGATCAGAAAAAAAATTATTGTTTTTATTTACTCGAATGAAGTACTGAGACTTTTACCAGACATCTTAGGACTATTTAAAAAATTCTCAGGCCAAAATCACTCACTCACTATTCCCATCTTCACTATATCGTGACTTCTCTATAGAGCACAATATAGTGAGGAGCTCATCGGGAAAAGAAAAGCATTTTCTCCGTGCTGGTAATGACGTCATTGTTAAAGGATTATGACAAACAATGTTGGCCGGTGGAAAAACCCACCGTAAATTTTAAACATTTATGTTACACTTAGTATTAATACTTTAAGGTAAAAAGAGGATATTGAATGATCATCTCTAAATGTAGAAATAAACTTTGTGCTGTGACGTATTTACATTTGTACGTTAGGTCTGGATGTTCCTGCTGCTCCGCTCGTCTCTCCGCCACGAGTGCAATGCATGATGGTAGATATTGCTCAGTTAGTGACCAGCGGTTTTGCACTACTTTTCATGATGCATTGTGGGAAACAATGAGTGCACTATATAGGGTATAAAGAAAGTAAAGATTCAGACACCAGTGAGTGATTTCAGACAGAGCCTCTCTCTTTGGTTTGGCTGCTCACAGACGTTCAGTATGAAACCAGAGAGAAGAGATCATGATTAAAAACTCCAAGATAAATCTGGATAAATCTGATTTATCCAGATGTTTTTAATCTGTTCTTTGTGTGACGTCTCAGTTTAAATCAAAAATAGACCTGACCCAGTTCTGTGAATCAAAATCAATTCCTGTTATAAGCAAAGATAAACTCCTGGTGTGTGAAATGGCTCAAGCACAGCGGCACACTCTGAACTAGTTGTGTGATGCATGCATGTAACTGAAAATACAATAAAGTAAAAATGATGATTGCTGAACAGCTCCCACAGGCCCAGCCTGTTACCTGTGTGTTTATTGATCAGTGAATTATATCTGTGCAGTAACTGATATGTTGGATGTTTCTGGTCTGTGCTTTTTTCTTTCTTCTGAACACGATGAAAAATGGATCATTGTGAATTTGTTGAGCAGACATGGGTCAAAATGTCAATTTGGTTTTTATCCCATACACACAAATAAAATCATGGGGAAAAGATCCTACAAAACATTTGGACCTTTTCAGGTGTGGCTCATGTTGACTCTTTGAAATGTTTTGAGTATTTCTTACATGTACGAATATTTGACAGAATAAAAGAGAAGAAACAGCCTGGACTTTTTTTGTGTCTGTGAAAGTCAAGGAAGGAATTTAGAACATCATGGTTCTTTGATTTGTATGTTCTATGCTGCAGCGCCATCTGCTGGGTGAGTCTAGTATAGTAGATTTGTATAACTGATGGTGAAATCTGTTTCAATTAAATGTTCCCATTTTGGACAAAGAGATTTATATTAATTCCTGAATCCTGCACCAACCTGATAAAACACTGACCTAAACACTGTTTTCCTTCAAACATGTTAAACTAAATATATATTTTTTTAAAAGAAACAAACAAACCAAAACATTAGTTTTATTGAATCTCAGTAAAAGAATTTCAAATAGGGAAATAGATGTTTGAAAAGGAGAAGAAAGATTTCAAAATGAACTTTTCTAGTCTTACCACCTCTTCTTGCTTCAACAATAAACTTTGCAGTAAATGTGAGATACTGGGCCTATCCAATGGTTCATTGGTACCTATACATTGGTAGCTTTGTTAAATCGTATTGTAACAATGTCCCCCAACGTTTTCTTCCCCTCGCTCCTCCAGAAGTGCACAGATCTCCTCATACTGGCTCCTGATTCCATATCGTACTGTATGTATGGAGTCCCAGCGTGTCACATGGATGCAGTGTTTTCTTCAGACGATTCTGTAGGTTGTTCCGCTTAAAGTAGGTCACGAGTAACTAAGCAGAGCCGATGAGGGCAGATGAAGACATCTTCTGCAGGCTTCCCAAGTGTGGTATGAAGCACTGTGTGCTCTGAACGAGTGTGGTGCAACCAAGCCTAGTAACACAGCGGTGGGCCACCACTATGTTTACACGTGTCACATGCACCAGATGAATGAATTGTGTTCTTTCAATGGATGTAGTAATTCGCTTGTGGATGGATTGCACATGAACCGTTCAGTGCCTAGCATTGGGCTAGCAAAAGCTAATACTTTTTGACATAATTTACAAGCAGCACGTTGTTCTCAGAGTCTTTGATAATACCAAATTTGTCCCGAACATCTGACTTGGCTCTTAATGATGTGTTGTCCATAATTTGATATTTGCCACTTACTATTTTTGTCTTTATTTCATCCATTTTGATCGACTAGCGAGCAGCGAGCCTACACTGCTATTACATCATTGACGTCAAACTGATTGAGTCAAGCTGTGTCTCAGTCAAACACATTTTTTTGTCCTCACCCACTACCCACCTGCATTTAGTTCACTTTTACCCAGACTAGTACCCGTGAATTTACACAAATACATATTATTTACCTGTTACTGTTATTATAACCTTATTGCGAGTTACCCGGAAGGTACCCAACCTGGTGATGGACTCTGCCTTTGTGAGGTTACAGTGACCTTGGCCTTTGGCCACCAAATTCTATTCAGGTCATCGTTAAGACCAAATGAATATTTGTATTAACTTTGAAGACATTCCCTGGATGGATTCTTCCTGAGCGGGAAGTTCGTACAGACGGACGTATGTAAAACCCAAAAACATGTTTCCAGCCACTGGCATAAAAATCTCTTGTTGATAAAAACCACAGCTCCACTAAATTAATTTAAAGATTGTTTTATTTACATAAATATTTCAGGTTGTTCAGGGGGACTGAGTCCCACAATGACACAAACGGAACATGGTGTGTCCACAGACTACACAAAAGGACGTCACTTCTTCTCAGGGGCCTCTTCACCAGCCTCCAGTTTGGGAGCAGTATCTTTGGGCTCTCGGTAGGCGGGGAACACCTCCCAGGGTGTGTTCAGGTCAAACTTTCTGAACTCCTGCGCCAGCTCCACAGGCTCAGCCACCACCCGCTTCACCTCGTCATCATAGCGCACCTGCAGATTTCATTTAAAGTTATTTCAAAGTTTTCATGGTTGATGAATTTCAAAGGGTTGGGTTTTCAAGTCTTGGTGAAAAATGTACAAATAAGAGACTGTGAGAGGATTTCAGTGTCGATATATTGATGAATTTTAAATCATCAGAATGTGAAGTGTATTCTCTCAGGAAGTAAAGTGAAAGTAAGATACTGTGTTAAAATTCATTCATTCCTCCAAAAGACATCGATTCAGTTTCACACAGTTATTTAGGACATGAAATATTCTTTCATTACACAAACTGAAGGATTTTCAAAGCATTTGGATCCCTGGATACATTAATGAGCTAAAAACAAATAACAGGATGCAGCAGAGTTGGATAGTTGAAGCGTTCTATCTGTCTCACTGACGTCCTCCTACATTTATCTTGTGAAGGAAACACATGAATCACATGTTGATGGAGCTGAAAAAAGCTGATCGCTGTCACAGGTTAAACTCACCTCAACGTATCCAGACAGAGGAAAGTCCTTTCTGAAGGGATGTCCTTCGAATCCGTAGTCTGTCAGAATACGCCTCAGGTCTGGGTGGTTGGAAAAGAACACACCAAACATGTCCCACACCTGAAGACACACGCACACTCTTTTCACTCATTCTGCTCAGTGTCAGTATGAACCCAACATAACACTCAGATCTGAGATATTTAAAAACAGAATGAGGATAAACACAATGTCACACTGACAACCAGCAGCAAACCCTGTGACCTATGACCACAAATAAACTGTGGATGAACAAATGTATTCATTTGTCTCATGCTACTTCATTTTTATCAACACTCGACATCATCAATGTCCTCAAGACATAAAATATGGCAATATTTTATGTCTTCCTCTGCAGGTTGCGACTCACCTCCCTCTCATACCAGTTGGCGGCCTTGTGGACAGGCACTGCAGAGTCCACTGGCGACAACTCGTCCGTGTACGTCTTGACACGGATACGAGAATTGTAGCGCAACGACAGCAGGTTGTATACGATCTGTAAACCAGCACAGACATTGTTACAATGAAAGGTGCATCAAGAGAAGACAACCAATCAGTGAGCTTAAAACTCTTATGTTAAGAAGATAAAAACTATACAGACAAAACAAGATTTCTCAGAAATATATTTGTGATAATTTGAACTGGTGGAAAAAACATGAACTTATAGAACTGTTACATTATCGTGGAGAGTGAGTGTGTTTGTCTCATGTAACATTTAATGTGTGTTTAATGTTTAAAGTGTGTGTGTGTGTGTGTGTGTGTGTGTGTGTGTGTGTGTGTGTGTGTGTTGAGACAAATTACCTCAAAGCGGTTCTGCCGTGTTGGGATGTCAACAGCAGTCAGGTCAATCATGTTCCTGTACTGGGCATTGGTGTGGTCCCTGAGGAAGGTGAGCACGGGGATCACTCCGTCTGGGTGAATCATCACCTCCAGCTCATTAAAACAGGTCACCTACAACACAAGGACACACACCAGGTCACTTACACATGAGCACACAAACATATCTACATGTTGGGGAGGTTCTAACAGCTGTTTCCTGTTTGGATCTTGATAATAAATAATAGGAATCCTTCACTCATGTTCTCTGTTTAGGTTCTTTTACAGACAAGTTAAGACACCAGATGAAAAAAAAAGTTCCCAAAGATCAAAAATGCAAATTCCCTGAAGCCATTTCTGAGAAAACATTTTCACCAGAATGGGATGGAAGGATGAGCTATGGATGTCTGGACAACCAGAAGACACCTTTCCCTTTCCATGGCTGTCTCCAGGATTATGGAGACATAAACAACAAAAACTGATAAAAGAAGATCACAGTATCATCTCTATCAGCCATGTGCTCTTTTTGTTTTTTTGAACCCTCTGAATGTGCCTAAGTGATCAGAATTTAAGACACACTTGAGTCCATTCAGACCATAGACTGAATATAAAGAGGTTCAGACCCCAATCACTTCTGATCACTCAGAATGGATGTTGATATCAGGTGTGAACAGAGTCTGTGACATTCTTACCTGGACCTGCTGGATGTATTTGGGCATCATCTCAGCCACATACTCTCCAAACGCTGCCAGTTGGTTGTGAGTGACGGCATCCGAGGGCCTGGTGGTGGCTGCATGAAGGACAGAGGTTTATAATGATTGAGCAATGCAGCAGCTGTCAACTTTTCTATTTTATTTATTAAGAACACTGTGGTCTGTTGATCCAACCTTGATGACAATACATGAGAAGCATGAACTGGAGCGTCACCACATCAGTGGTTCAGCCAAACTGCTTGACTCTGTACTCACGACTGGTTTCCGTGGTGGAGCTCTGTGGTCTGATCTGCTGCTGGAGACACGAACTCCTCGCAACTGAGAGAAGAGCAGAAGACAAACACTTCTACATCAAACCTGAATCTAAATCAAACCTGAAGCTAAATCAAACCTGAAGCTAAATCAAACCTGAATCAAACCTAAAGCTACATGAAACCTGAAGCTAAATCAAACCTGAATCTAAATCAAACCTGAAGCTACATGAAACCTGAAGCTACATGAAACCTGACAGAATAATCTACTGAGCAACAGAAGCAGAGAAAACAAGAATGAAAACAAAGTGTCGTTGATTCTGAAATGACACGTTTCATATCAAGTTAAAGAGAGAAGTGGATTCTGTGAATCTTATTTAAAAAGTATTTAAAAAGTAATTTGTTAGAAAGAAGTGTCCATCTTCTGCAGGCTAACGTTAGCATTAGCTGTCGCTAGCTCGAAGGTCAAACCGGAAACATTTGACGGTTGTAGATGAGGCTGTTTCTTCTTTGATGTCGTGAAACAGACTCGAAACAAAAGACAAAGATCATTGAGGATTAAATAAAATCAGGTTCTGATCGACTTACTGTCCAAACTTCTTCCGAAACCTCCGCGGACAAACCGCATCAACGACGCCGCCATGTTTGTTTGCCTCCGGAGGAGCTAGTCGCTGTCCGGGACGGATCTTCTTCTTTTTGGTTAACGGCGAGTTTAAGGCGCATTACCGCCCCCTACTGTGTTGGAGTGTAGCCCTGTGGAAATACCTAAATAAAAGAATAAAGAATCTTAAATCCTGTTCATTACACCTCCACCAGCCTGAACCTTGATACGAGGATGGATCCACGCTTTCATGTTGTTTAAATTCTGACCATGAATGAAATCGAGACTCATCAGACCAGGCAACGATTTCCAATCTTCTAATRTCCAGTTCTGAGTCTGTGAACGTTTGCCTCAGTAGATCTCAGCTGACAGGAGTGGCACCGGTGAGGTCTTCTGCTGCTGTAGCCCATCTGCTCCAAGGGTCCACGTGTTGTGTTCAGAGATTCTGCAGACCTTGGTTGTAACGAGTGGTTATTTGAGTTACTGTTTCCTTTCTATCATCTCCAACCACTCTGCCCATCCTCCTCTGACCTCTGACCTCAACAAGACATCTTCATCCACACAACTGCAGCCCACTGGATATTTACTCTTCTTAGGACCGTTCTCTGTGAACCCTAGAGATGGTCGTGCATGAAAATCCCAGTAAATCAGCAGTTTTTGAAATACTCAGACCAGCTCGTCTGGCACCAACAACCACGACACGTTCAAAGTCACTTAAATCCACTTTCTTCCCCATTCTGATGCTCAGTTTGAACTTCAGCAAGTCGTCTTCACCACGTCTGGATGCCTACATTTACTGAGTTGCTGCCATGTGATTGGCTGATTAGCTATTTGTGTTAACAAGCAATTGAACAGGTGTGCCTAATAAAGTGGCCGGTGAGTGTATATTATATATATATATAATCTTAAAAGCTTTTCTACTGGCTCCYCATTCAGACCCTTTGAGACATCTCATTACATTGAGAACCATCTTGCATTTTTTCTCCATCTTATTTATACATTCATTCCAGATCAGCTTTGTGTCAAATAAGAGGAGGCTGAAAGAGCACCTCCACCTGCACCAGAGGATCAATCAGTGCAGGTGATCCTGAATTTCATTGGTATCGCTGACTCAAATGTTGGTATTCTGACAACACTTACAGAGAGAATTTATTTTGGTTGTACTCTGTGTGGTGTCCTATTTTTTAACTTTGACTTAACAGAATTTGCTTTGCTGGTTGATAACACACTGCTTGTGGTGTGAAAAACTCAGAAAATATATTTTTAATTGCTTTAAAGTCTTTTAACTACGTGCTGAAAATAAAGGAGCAGAAACACCATTATTATGAATTCATCTCACAAATATTTTATTTGATTGTTTTTTTAAGTTATGAGGCACCAGAGGAAAAAATAATGACTTGAAATAAAAGGTTTTTAGTTTTTTCAGTAACAACATCACTGCTGAAATACACAGTAAAACATCCTCATCTTGTTGTGACACTGTTAATGTAACAACACAAACATTTATTTTGAAAGTCAGAAATATTGGGAGGAAAGAAAAATCACAAGGTTTGAAAAAGTTTGAAAAAGTGTTTTTGTTATTTTTAATGTGATCCACGTTCAGAAATCATAATAATCAGTTTTAGCTCCAGGTGATAAAACCAGAGAGTGGAGATGTTTTAGTCACTTCAAAGTTTGGGGTTTTATGAAATGATGGTTAAAAGTGTAGAAATTATGATTTCTTCTCACTTATTTTTCACAAGTGAAATTTGCTATTTACCAATAAAACTCTTGATATTTGATTTAAAATAATCATTGGGTGTGTGTTTGTCATTCACAGTAAAATGTAAAGGATTCATTCATACGACAGCAGCTTCATGAATTCAGTCTGTGGGTCCACATTGAGTCCAGCTGCTGGGAACATGACGGCGTCCACTTGTTGCCCTGTGCTCTCAGCTGGACTGTTCACACACCTGCTGGTAGTACGTCCGCAACATCTGCAGCTGAGCGGCACGCACCAGGACGTGGGGTCGGACTGTCGCAAGCTTCTGACAGGCCTCCTCTGGAGTCCAGCAGTGTAACTGTGATCGGAAAGGCAACATCAAAACAATCATGAAACTGACTTTTCAGTATTTACATCAACACTGGGTCCCTGCAGTGTCAAAGGTTTTAGTGTATTTCTGCTATACACGGAAATACTGTTTTAAGTTTGACTTTCAAAATGTAAATGATTTACTGCAGGGACTTTACATTATGTTGCATTTCACTGTGAAGATGCTTCTCTTTTGCTAACTCAGTTTACCAACCATCTACTACTCTACCAAACTGCCTTCCCTCTGCCCCCCACAGTTCTGTACTTACCCTGATGAGGTAGGCAGCAGCCAGTGTGGCGCTGCGGGAGCGACCAGCCTTGCAGTGGATGTACACGCTGGTTCCCTGCTCTCTGTGCTGCAGGGCGAATTCCACGCCACGATGCAGGTTCTCCAGACTGGGGACGCCAGTGAGGTCGACTGTGCTCAGCCTCAGCTGCTCTACGCCTGCGTCACGCCATTCCTTCACCCAGCGTCATTTGTCAGGGAAAGTCAAAAGATACTCATTTTAATATCATATTCTGCAAATTATCATATTTCAGAAGCTGGAACAACATAAACATCTCTTCCAGCAAATAATGACGAGAAGATTCAGCTCTGAACCACCTGATTTTTTATCATCTGACACAAATCATTCATTATTTTCATGAAATTAAACCAGTTGTATCACTTTTTTTGTCTACACATGAAAAGACAAGTCAACTCACCTCAGCTGAGTTACAGAAATATTTAGTTTCATACTCTTCATTCATGGTGACGACTCCTCGGATATTTTCTGTTTCTACGAGCTGTAACACATCAACACACTGATCAACACACTGATCAACACACTGATCAACACACTGATCAACACACTGATCATCATCACACTGATCATCATCATCACACTGATCATCATCACACTGAACCACCATCAAACTGAATCATCATCACACTGATCATCATCATCATCATCACACTGATCATCATCATCATCACACTGATCATCATCATCATCATCACACTGATCATCATCAT